TAATCGACTGGAAGAAAAGCTAGTGTATCTAAATCGCGAACAAATATCGCCTACGGGGGAAACGCCTACACTCTACCCATTTGTTTGTCTCGTCTCTCCAACTGTACCCCCCCCCCCCCCCCTCCGGGCTCACCTCTCCCACTGTACCCTTCTCCGTCAACTCCTGGAAAACCCGGGTAAAATCCTAAAAGAAAATCCCGGCTGTGACAACGTCCTGCTCTGCCTCCGTGAGCTCGATCTGCCCTCTCCACCCAGGGGGAAAAACAAAGGGAAAAGAAAGGGGCAGTACGACCTTCCACGTGAGTCACAACAAAAAATGTTCATCCCCCAAACTTGTGCTGGAATCCCCTACCGGCGAACAAAATCCAAAGGGAAATGAAACGGCATGGCCACGTCGTGATGGGTATGTGGAAGGCAACAAAACAACAACGACAGCAGCACTAGCAGCAGCAGCAGCAGCAGCATGAAGTTGCCTCGTCACAAGTCACGTGTTTCGGACCTTGAACGAGGCGAGAAGGGAACGGGGGGCGCCCGTGGTGTGTCACACCGCGCACACCGTGCCAAATTCAACGGGACACGGCGGTAGACTTGAGATTGTGAGAGAGCAGCAGGGTAATGACAGAAGCACGCCTTGCACGATGTACATCCCCCCACCTGTACAGTGTGCCCTGACCACTCTCTGCACCAGCAGGAACAACATGGGGATGACGGCACCCCTTTGACAAAACTGTGTCACGTTACGGGACCCCCTTCTTTAGACATTTGTGTACTCTAGTTCACTGAATCAGCACAGTAGGACGAAAGAGAAATATCTGGGAAGAGCGAAGAGACGACCACAACGTCGTCGACAAAACCACGAAGAATTTTCCAGGAAACAGGCGACGGCAGACTATCTCGCGGCAGCACCCAGAACCACACACCTTGCCGGCCTCCGGCAGCTTGAGCGCGGACGCCAGAACCCCGAACAGACCCACCGTGCCCACGCCCGCTATTCCGATCATCTGCTCCATGCCGGAAACTGATTTCGCCGCTGCGGTGGCCTCGTCCGAGTAAGCCAGCAAGAGCTTCGGGAAAAGAACGACGGCGACAACAGCAATGACGACGACGACAGAGCACATGAGAAAAATACGCAGGTATTTAGGGTCATTGCAGCTGCTTGGTGAATCAACTCGACCACCGCCACCGCCTGCTCATTTTTCCAAGAGCACAGCGTGTTTTTTCAGGTTGACCACCGTTTGAACACCGGCAGAAAACGAAAACGCCGACAGACACCAAACACCAACGACGACGACAACGACGACGACGACAACATCATCACCGCACCTGGGCTCCGGCCGAGATGTCTGTCGCGTCCGGCATAACCATGGAGGTGCAAGTGCTTTGCCTGCGAAACACGAACCAGAACAGAAGGGTCGTCAGAGGGGCCAACGCCATTTGCTGCCTGCCAACGAAGGCGGAACAGGTTCCGACTCCACAGAGCGGAGAGAGATATTTGTCCGGAGCTCAGGTTGAACAGATGGACGAAATCAATCCCGAGACCTGTACCAAGTGTTCCCTGCACTGAACGTGGCCGAAATGCCACAGGTAGTGCTATCAATAGCACCTTCGCTGCGGTACAGGAAGTGATCGCGTCGGACCATGAGCCCGTCTTCCCCGTGCTTGGCCTAGAGTCAGATACGTCAGGGTCGTGTTAGGGCGGCGGTGCCGTGGAACCTAACGGCAACGTACCGTACATCTCATCCCGAGATTGAGTTGAAAATACGGACGCCAACACCCACTCTGCTATGGCCAAGACGCTGAAAATCTGGGTGGCGCAGCGTCTTGACAATGATCGCTCATACGATTGACCCAACCGCATGGCTTTAAGAGGTGAAGTTGTTTGTTGTTGTCCAAACGACGAACAACTGGTGTTGCTGCGTTTGGTAGAGTCGTACCGCTGTATCGTAGTCACACCGAGTGGCTCGTCGGACGAAAGACTTTTACGTACATAGGATGCGAAAACCGCGCATGATCCACTCCATCTGCAGCAGCTTACAGCTTGCATGGGCTTGAAAATATTTCGTTTATCCTATTTTGTGGTGGCAACAGTAAGAGCAGTGGTCTTTTGCTGCTCCTCCTCGAGCATCGCCGTAAAGGCTG